TATAATCTTTCTCCAAGAATATAAGGATGACTTGGATTGATGGAAGAAGAATTGATCGATCAACTTTCAGCAAGCCATGTAAAGGAATAATTCTAAAGAGAAGTCTGATGTCATGCATAAAGGGATAAAGTTCATAAGTAACAATGATGTTTAGGAACTCATCGCATTGTCGAAGGTGCGAAATCCATTTGTTGTAACTGGATATTTAAAGCCAAGAGGGATTCGAATGATGATGTGGAGAGATATGATATTCGTCTTCTTACAAATGACTTTACTCAAAATAAAGGCATTGACATTAAAGAGAATTTTTCTCCTATTTTTATGAAAGACTCTTTTATGACAATTATTGCATTTGTGACATATTTTGATCTTAAACTATGTCCGATGGTTTATAAATTAAATAAATACATCTATGGGCTTTAAGCTGATTTCCCTTAATGGTATCACAAATTTTATCAAATAATTATATCATTTGGTTTTGAGATGAATTCAGTTCATGATTGAGTATATCAATAGTTCAGTAGGAGTAAGCATATTTTTTGGTATTGTAAGTCGATGACATACAAGTAAGCATATTTTTTGGTATTGTAAGTCGATGACATACTGCTTGCCTACAATGATATAAGCTTATTGCACGAAACCAAGATATTTTTGTTATGTAATTTTGAAATGAAAAATTTTGGCGACGTCTCTTTTATATTAAGGATATAGATACATAGGAATCGTTCTCAGTATATTTCTTGATTATCACAAAAGAGTTATATCAATAAAGTTCTTAAGCGATTTAGGATGCAGATATGTAAATCAGGTGATACGCCTATTGCTAAGAGAGATAAATTTAGTCTCAATTAATACCCCGATGATAAATTTAAATAAAGAAAAATATAGAAAATTCTCCTTGATTCAGCAATTGAGAATTTAATGTATACTTAAGTTTGCACACGATCAGATATATTATTCATTGTTGGAATGCTAGGTAAATATTTAATTAACTCTGGGATAAAAATATAGAAAGCAGTCATTAGGCTATTCGGTATTTATAGAGAACTAAGAATTATGTATCACATTCAGGGAAATCAGATTAATAGGAGATCA